AACTTTTGCATACATGTCGTATAATTTTAACAAAGTTTTGATAGTGAAAAAAAAATTTTTTATAAAAAAAACAACAATTTTTTGACAAAAATCGCTGTAGTGCTTCAGGGATACCCATGGTAGTGGAATTTTATTTCACATTTAGAAAGCTCTCTAGATATGCTATCAATTAATGCAATAAAATGAACAAGTGTTCTCTTGGCAAAGAGCACTTTTTTGACTCTGAAAGTCGTATGTCGAGCAAGGTCAAAAAAGAAAAATAATCATAAAAATTTCAGTTTTAAATAAAATTTAATTTTTTTAATTTAGATTGATAGATCTTTTTAAAACGCGTCTTTTGAGTATAAATATGTTATAGTTTTGTCAAGTTTCGTGATCATTTTTTTAAAAAAATAGTTTTTTTCAAAAAAAAAATTGAAAAATAAAGTATTTGACTTTAGAATTTTATAAAATGCATCTTTTTGTCATTTTTTTCACTACTTTGTCTAGTTTTGCTCCTAGTTTTTTTCCTAAACATAAATCAATAAGAACTTAGCATAATTGAAGCCATTTGGAGGTTAAATTGAGTTAAAAATCGTTTAAAATTTTTGTATTTCTCAAATAGTTCTTTACACAAGTATCTAAGATATAAAGTGTTGCATAGTTTTGAAAAGGTATTGAAATTTCCAATATGTTAACATGAAAAGTTTAGGAAAATTTTCAAGTAATATAGTCAATTTGGGTAAAAAACGCATTTTATATATGCTAGTTTTTAATGTTTTTCGTTTTTCTCAGCAAAGACTTTATGAAAAACTCTCAAAGTTTGCACTTTTATTTGTTATATAAATGTTAATGACTCGTAAAAGTTTTGGAATTTTCCATTGAGTTTTTCATTAGTTCTCCTAATCTGAAATTTTCACTATTAAATTTTCGTTTTTCTCAACAATTGCGATTTTTTATTTATAAATAAATATCTTATTTTGTTTCATTTTTCAATATCTTTTCATTGATATGTAACAATCTACAAAAAAATTAAGACTAAAGAGAAATGAATAAAAAAGTGTCAAAAATGTATGAAAATTCTACGCTATTTTAATTTTTTAAGCCTTTTATGGTTAATTTTACTAAGTTTTATAAGAGTGTTATACCTTTTTTTGCAAATGTATAGCTTAAGACGTTCATCCACCAAAATTCGTATGAGTCTACGCTAAGCACAACTGAAGTCAAATAAGCTTCAAGTTGGCGACAACCAAAAATTTTGAATTTATTAAAATTAAATTATTTAAAAGCTTTAAATTATATCTTCAGGCTGCTATTAATTACATGAAACATTTATAACAAAAGTAAATGAAAAAGCTTAATATTATAGCTTAAATAGCATTAAAACTAATATCTGGTTTTCTTCATATGGAACTGTCTTTTGTCTCGCTATACATTTGCAAAAAAAGGTATAACACTCTTATAAAACTTAGTAAAATTAACCATAAAAGGCTTAAAAAATTAAAATAGCGTAGAATTTTCATACATTTTTGACACTTTTTTATTCATTTCTCTTTAGTCTTAATTTTTTTGTAGATTGTTACATATCAATGAAAAGATATTGAAAAATGAAACAAAATAAGATATTTATTTATAAATAAAAAATCGCAATTGTTGAGAAAAACGAAAATTTAATAGTGAAAATTTCAGATTAGGAGAACTAATGAAAAACTCAATGGAAAATTCCAAAACTTTTACGAGTCATTAACATTTATATAACAAATAAAAGTGCAAACTTTGAGAGTTTTTCATAAAGTCTTTGCTGAGAAAAACGAAAAACATTAAAAACTAGCATATATAAAATGCGTTTTTTACCCAAATTGACTATATTACTTGAAAATTTTCCTAAACTTTTCATGTTAACATATTGGAAATTTCAATACCTTTTCAAAACTATGCAACACTTTATATCTTAGATACTTGTGTAAAGAACTATTTGAGAAATACAAAAATTTTAAACGATTTTTAACTCAATTTAACCTCCAAATGGCTTCAATTATGCTAAGTTCTTATTGATTTATGTTTAGGAAAAAAACTAGGAGCAAAACTAGACAAAGTAGTGAAAAAAATGACAAAAAGATGCATTTTATAAAATTCTAAAGTCAAATACTTTATTTTTCAATTTTTTTTTTGAAAAAAACTATTTTTTTAAAAAAATGATCACGAAACTTGACAAAACTATAACATATTTATACTCAAAAGACGCGTTTTAAAAAGATCTATCAATCTAAATTAAAAAAATTAAATTTTATTTAAAACTGAAATTTTTATGATTATTTTTCTTTTTTGACCTTGCTCGACATACGACTTTCAGAGTCAAAAAAGTGCTCTTTGCCAAGAGAACACTTGTTCATTTTATTGCATTAATTGATAGCATATCTAGAGAGCTTTCTAAATGTGAAATAAAATTCCACTACCATGGGTATCCCTGAAGCACTACAGCGATTTTTGTCAAAAAATTGTTGTTTTTTTTATAAAAAATTTTTTTTTCACTATCAAAACTTTGTTAAAATTATACGACATGTATGCAAAAGTTATAGCTTTTGATGTAATCTTTAATATAAAAAAGAAATTAGTAACTTTGGTTGTGCTTGTGAAGACCTACACAAACGAAAGTATGACGAACACGTGGTTTTTGAGAAAAATCTAGTTTTTCACAAAATTTTTCAAAGTTATTTGCAATTGTTTATATCTTAAAACAAAGTAACTATTTAAAGCTATTAACAAAAAAAATTTGAAGGAGATTCATCTATCCAGTATCTGGTGAGAGCATTTTCAATGTAACGTGAAAATGGTCGTCTGACCAACTTTGAAGTGCCATATCTCGGACATGCTGTCGACTTGAGCAAAGTTTTAAGGACGTAAATGTAGGGCATAATAAGAACTATCATATAAGCTGTAGAAATAATTTTTGGAAAAATTTTCCATTTCTGGCCCATAGTGTAATGCTTATTAATTTTGAAATTCTCGATCGAATGACTTAATATAAAGAAGAAATGTTATGTTGTAGTAATTAGATTGCAGATTGAAGTCGTCAAATTAATTTAAATGATTTTTTTGGCTTTCTTTTGTCAATTTTATAATTATCTTAAGGATCAAAGCTGTTTTTGGATCAACAATTTTTTTCGCATCATCTTCAAGTAATAAAAGATTAAGTTATGTTACTGGATTAAAAGCTTTTAGGACTTGAAAGTTATTTTCTGTATTTAATTGGCATAAAGATTTTGCTGATTTAAAAAAAATTTAATTTTAAAGATAAAAATCTTAAATTTTAAAAAATCGGAGAAAGCCAATTATCTTTAAAAATACAGAATATTAAATGATATCAATGCTGCAAAATTTTGTCCAAAAATCAATTTCATTTAAACCAAAATTCCTCATCCAATAAATCATGAGCAACACGAGTCTTTGTATAATAATTTGTTAATATTGTCTGTTGATTATCTTTTCTGAAGATTAATAAGCAAATTCAGCATGTTTTACACTTTAACGCCATTTATTTCTAATTTTAAAGTCAATAAGGAAAGAAAGTGTTAATCAACTTTGGGAGAGTAAAACGTAGGGCAAAAATCGGGAATTCTTTAATTCCAAAGTATTGAAGAAGTTCCGCTAGAATAGGTTTCCAATTTAAAATTAAGCTGTTGACACACATTGTAATCGGATAAAAAAAATTTTGTTTTTAAAAACCGGCCCTCGTAATGCGTAGAAACACAGGATTAATCCTGAAAAATGGCAAAAATCCTATAAAATCCCTGAGCCAATAAACATGAAAATGTGAAGTCCTTTTTAAATCTCATGCATTTGATGAATGATTTCGGGATTAAAAAGCGGGATTAAATTAAATGTTAATGTTTTTGGTTTTTTTCTACTCGAATTCTGTGTGGGGAATATGCGCTTCGGTCGGTCACGAGTGACCCCTTTTTTGTTTAGAATTTTTAAGATTTTTCAGGATTAATCCTGAGTTTCCACGTCTTGGACCTTCCTCTCTGTGTCTGTATGTTGTGATTGTTGATATGGCTGGAATCTTCTATTAAGCCTTCTTTGTGTCCCCCGTCTCGGGGCCTCACGTTCACGTTGCTGAACTTTGACCGGATCCCTTAAGTGTGATAAAAGTACGACTTCACGCTCTTCAATTTAAGCTTTTATTGCCCGTAAACTTTCCTCAGACTTGAGAGTAGAGCAAGTCTTTAGCTCCTCCTCAAACCGGTCCCAATTTACCTCCTGTTCAAGCTCCACTTTGAAGTTTGATAATTAAAAATCCTTTACTTTTAATAGCACTTATAAGTGCTTTGTTTTTTGTTAGTATTGAAAAATACTCTTTCCTTTAGTTTTCTTTAGATGTTGCCTTTATGAGTTCTTAAACTCGAATAATTAATTTCTCCCGAAAATTCCTTCTTTTATACTTTAAAATTCCCGCCAAAAATTCTTGAGGTTCAAACTTTGGACTCGAATTCAAATTTTGAACAACCGTTACTTTTTAAATCTCAAACGACCGTTAAATTTCTTTTGCTTATTAACCTAGATTTCAACACTGTAGATAGCGTTTACACATTTCGTCATCTTTGTGCCAAGTTCAGGTATGTTCTCATTGTCCCAGAAATTAAACTTGATTCGTATGTATTTCACTAGTTCAAATTAATTTCGTGATTTACAGTTTAGCACACACCGTTCTTAACAATTAATTTAAATACAATAAATTGATAAATTCACAACCAACAGTTCTCTCTTTTTGCGAGAGAAATTTCTCTTTTTCTTCATCTTCCTTTTACTCATTCATTCATCAATTTTTCTTCTCTTAAGTCAGCTGTGTCAAACAAACAAGCAATCCAGGTGCTGAAAGATTTTATTTATTACTCTTAGTTATGCTTAACATCCTGAACTGTTAAGTAGTTTGTTGAGCGTGGACTTAAAATGTGTTAAAAGTGAATGTTTGTGTTAAGTTTTTGGAGCAAAAAAAACAAGAAGATTAGATTAAATCAGCAATGATGCTGAAAATGAAGATTTTAATGAAACTTCTTGTCATTTTGATGTTGAATTTGTCATCAATTCAAGCTGTTATTTTTAATTCTACCAAGAAAGTTGAAAATCTTGATTTAAATGACACAAAAAAATATTCAGAATTCTTCAAGCTGGTTCAAAATTTTATAATTGATTTGGATCATGAAAATGTGTCAGTAGAGTGCAAGAAATCAAATAATTTGTTCAAAAAATCGTTGCACAATCTTGAATTTTGGGCATTGCAAAGTAAATATAATTAAAACTTATATCAAGCAATTTAATGTGTAAAATTTTGATAATATTGTGTCAAAATCTGCTTAAGCAGGTCTTGTGTAGCTTCGAAGGCTCAGTTGAAGTATTTCAGTTCACTTATCTAATTTCTTAAAATTCACAGTGTTTGATGCAAATGCAAAAATTTCAAGTGGTCTATTGAATGGAAATATTCATCAATTTGGAAATTTTGATCAATGCATCAATACAGCATCTTCAGGAAATCAATTCCAAGGAAAATATTGTCTGTCACACATCATGTTTGATGTTCCTGAAAGTCTCGAATATTTGAATCTTTTAAAGCACCGAATGCTTGCACTGAATCCATTTGTTAGTGAATTTGATGATGTAAATGCAATTATTGTCATAAATTCAGCACAATCTGAATAACTAGATTTTCCATAATCATTCTAGGCAAGCCACATAGTGCCAAAAAGCTCTGAAGTCAAATGGGCATCATGCATTCCATCAAACTGTGCTGCAACAGATCTAGGAATTGCTATGAAAGAATCACTGACAAGATTATTTAACGAATTTCCAATAAAAATTAGAATTCAGATCAACGAAGTGGATTGTCAAGTGAGGATTAATGAAAAGTTACTAAGTGTTGGCGAGAAATTAAGCATGTAAGTAATTTGTTGATTATTTTGTTTAAAAGCCAATATCCCGAATGGCACTAGTCGGTTAATAGCTAGGGTGACCATCTGCGTAGGTTTACAACGGACAGTCCTGTATTTCAAAACCCTGTCCTGTATAAATTTTTAAATTTTGTTCCTGGTCCTGTATTTTTTTCATGAAAATTTCCGTTAATTTTCGAATTTTACTCTATGTCCTGTTTTTTTCGAAAAAATTTACCAAATGTCCTGTATTTTCATGAAAACTAGATGGTAACCCTATTAATAGCTAAGCTGGCATAATTCTAGAATGGTGCTGGCATCGATTTAAATCCAGCACCACGACAAAATCACGCCAGTTTAGTGTTTTGATCGATTAACTGACTTGTTCCATTCGGGTATGTGCAATAGAAATAAGGACTTAAAAGAGCGATTGAAGTAAATGTTACAGCATACAAACAAAGATTTGTGCTTTTGTTCAAGATAAAAATTGCAAGAATCCAATGCGTGGACACTGGGATTAATCCCGATAATCCTCAATAATCCCAATAATCCTCAATAATCCCAGCTTACTTTTGAGTGTCCACGCCTTGCAAAAATCAATAGTTTTGGAACAGATTCTTGGAAAAAAATATACAGTTTATATCCTGCATGCAAAACCTTGACCTGAACACTCCGAACATTATTAACAGATCACGTTTTCAATGATTACGAAAGTAAACTTATCAAAGTCAAGATACTAGCCTTAAGTTAAGAATATTACATCTCAATTAAGTCAATTATCTGAAAATTGCAGCAAAATCACAAGACATGATTCTTACCGAACTACAAGAACACTTACATAAAGAGAGAATTTACCTTGAACTTAATCCAGCAACCGGTTCATCATAAATAATTAATCTTTACTTTCGTTATTTCTTTTGCTTATTCTTTTCATCTTTTTTGTGACCAGTGGGTTGTTTGTGGCTTTATTTACTGTTATTGTTGCATCAACGTTTGCTGAGTGCTTCTTTGCATCAGGTATGAATGAATTTCATTTTTAAAAACATTTTGTTGGCAGTTTACAGTAAAGGGCTCGTTCACTTAGGGGCTGTTCACTTATTACGTAACGCGAAAAAATGACTTCTTAGACCCCCCCCCCCCTCGTAACAAAATTTGCATGAAAAAAAAATTTCCTTGTTTGAACCGTAACAAAGTCTTAGACCCCCCCCCTCCCCCTAAAAGCGTTACGTAATAAGTGAATGGCCCCTTATTACGTAACGCAAAAAAACGAGTTTTTAGACCCCCCCCCCCCCTGTAACAAAGCGTAACAAAATCTTAGACCCCCCTCCCCCCCCTAGTGCGTTACGTAATAAGTGAACGAACCCAAACTATACGGAGCATACTTTAAGTATGCATACTCTTAGTGGTATACTCTAAGTTTTATAAAAACCTAGTCCTATAGTACAATTCGGACTATACTTGTATACTATTAATCAATACCACTTACCTTAAAAATAAACACTTAACTTATCCCAAATGGTACAAGTCGGTTAATTAATCAGAATTCCGGAACCAAGCTGGGGTGACTCTGGCATGGCACTGGATTCATGTCGAAGCCAGAGTTTTACCGGTTAGGTTTCGGATTTCTATTTGATTAACCGACTTGTGCCATTCGGGTATCAGTCTCATTCTCACTTTCATTCTCAACAGAGAACAGCTTAATGACGTCATTTTCATTAAAGAAGAACTTTAACGAGCTCATATTAGTCGAATCATCAAACAACGACATCAAGTGCATGCACAGCATCCGCACAATCTTAACAGTTCTTTTAATAACAGCTCATAAAGCAATGGAACATGGATTTAATCCAGTCGCACATAAAACGCAAATGATTGAGTTCTTGCTGCAGCCAATTAACTTAATATTTCGCATTAGTTACCTTCACACGGATGTATTCTTAATGTTCAGTGGATTCCTTGTAACTCAAACTTTTATGGCCAAAATCAAGCGTGGTCAGAAAATTAATATTTTTAAAGAAATAATTGGACGATATTTTCGACTCATCCCATCAATTGCCATTCTCATAATTTTTGTCACTTTTATTCTCCCAAATCTTGGCAGTGGTCCATTATGGCCAATATTAATTGAGTATCAATCGGATTTATGCAAAAAAACATGGCTGTCGAGTATTTTCATGGTACAAAATTTAATTGGAATTGAGAATATCTGCATGATGCATACACACCATGTGGCTACAGACTTTCAACTGTTTCTAATTGCACCAGTTGTTGCTGTTTGCTTATGCAAATATCATGAAAAGACTGTAAAGTTGATAGTGCTGTTGTCGGCTGTGTCAACATTTGGAAGATTTTTAATTGTGTATTTTGGAGGCATATCTGTTTTCATGACTGCTGGAATGAGGTGAGTTTAGTCCAATTGATAAAGTTGACTCTAAAGAATCCCTTGCCTTATTGATGATTAACTGGAATATGACAATTATTTATCAATCCACAGAATTTCTGACATCTTCAAGATTGCTGATTTAATGTACATTTTACCACCATATCGATTTACTGGTAATAGACTAAGCCTTAAGAATCTTAAGCACTTCAAAATCACAACTTTGTATCTTTAATTAGTATATTCTATGGGAATCCTACTTGCTTACTACATTAACAAACACAAAGGACACAAAATAGCTTACAAAACAATCTCAACTGGATGGATATGGGCAATTTCCTCGTTGATAACTACAGTAGCAATAAGTGCTGCAAATGATAAGCAAACTCTGATGAGAGCTGCACTTTTTGCATCAATTTGTTCAATCACATATTGTGGATTTTTTGGATGGATTATTTATTCTTCGGAGCTAGGATTTGAAAGTAAGTTTTGGATACTTCACATTTATATCTAAAGCCATGTCACATGTCACTGACTTTTTAGAGAAAAAGCCACAAAACTGAAATTTTCTTCTTGATTCTAGACTTTGTATCGCCTTTTCTTGAATGGAAATACTAGAAGATTGGAGCTAATTTGTCATATGCAATTTATCTAGTTCAATTTGCTGTATTTCATTACAATAATGGAAAAGTTCGAGGATCGACACAATATAGCTTTTATGGAAGTATTGTAAGTTTATTGTATTGAAATCTGGTGTGTTCTACAAACCAAGGCTGCGGAACTGGTGAAATGATCAAAAATGTTCAAAAAAATTCAAAAAAGGTCAAAAATTATCAAAATCAAATTTGTCAGTTCCGCATCCTTGCTGAAAACATGTATGTGTTATCTATGAACTGGAGAGTAATATTTGTCAACTTACCCGATCAACACACATTGCTACCCGGCAGTCGGGTTGATAGTATATTTAGAACCAAGCGGTAGCAGCTTGGAAGCAACTTCCAACTGGATGCTAAGTGATTGCCATGTGGCTGCCATTGCCAATTGGCTGTCGCTTGGTTCTTCTTATACTATCAATCCGAGTGCCAGGTGACAAACATTTCAGTGTGTGCCGATCGGGTTAAATTCAACTATCTTCTATTTTGCAGGTGGATCTCAATGAGCTGTTCATCATTCTTTTATCAGCAACCGTTTTGACAGTTTGCATTGATTATCCATTCAAAAATATTAAGAAGGCTTTTTCAGATAAAAAGTCAGCAAAAATAAAACAATAGATGCTTTAAATTGTGATAATATAATTTAAAAAATAGTTTTGTATTTTAATGGCAAGTATTTTAATTTAAAGAATAAAATCAAGATGTGGAAACTCAGGATTAATCCTAAAATTCTTAAAAAAATCAGTAAACATGAAATTGTGAAATCTTTGAAGTTCCGAAATTATTCATCAAATGTAACAGGGATTTAAAAGGGATTTAACATTTTCATGTATTTTTCAGGATTAATCTTGAATTTCCACGCCTTGAACAAAGAATTTTTATTAAAAAACAAAGAATTTATTTATTCCTCGAAAAGTAACTTTGTGAATGTCTTTGTCACTCTTCGCTCAATTTTCTAAGTTCAATCCTATTAAACATTCATCATATCTAGCTTTCTCCTCCAAAGATAATCCTAGATACCCAACAATAGTGGGATATACCCTTAACACATCATTTAAATTACAATCATGTTCACGCAATATTAAGATGAAAGATTCAATTTATTTCCTTTAAATAATACTGTACACTTTTTATAAATAAAATATCAAAAACAATTCAACGTCAGGTGCACCTTATTTTGAAATGAATAAAAATAGCTTTTATCTGTTTACATTTTCGACGCTATAAATAAGAAAGAATTTATTCAAATCAAATTAATTTGCAATGAATCACTGCCAATAAATAAATTGCAAGAAAATATCGGATGATTTAAATTTTGGGGTTTTGTCATCAGTTGAACACACCGTTGAGTGACAAATTCACATGGCACTTAATTGTCTGAATTTCGAGATTGTTAAATGATGTGAAAAAATTAAGTTAAATTCATTTTATTTTGGAAGATTTTGCTTGAATTTATTTTTGGTTTGCGCTTATTTTGGGGATCATTTTCCATACGAATAATGTGAATTCAAGTTGAATAATAGGCTGAATGGAAAATTTCAGAAAAATTCATTTAAAGATTTAAACATTTTAGCGAACATAAATTGAATAAAATACTAAGTTATATCTTTCAAGAAATCAAATCTCCAAGTTTAAAGAAAGCTAAGAACATAGAAATGATAAAAATAAATATTAAGGACGCTGAAGCAGTGTGAAGTGCTCAACATATCATTAAGAAAATATTTCGAAAATCAACATTTAATTTTAATGAAACTTAATATTGTTTAAAATCAAACATGTCTAAAAAGAAAAAATAAATTAAAAATTTTAAAAGCATAATTTTCTCCCTTTTGTCAGCAAAATTATTGTGTATTTGAATTAGAATCCGTAAAAGGTCGTTCACAAATTTAGCTGTAACGAAGTTGAAATTTTAATGTTTTTAACAACGTGACACTTTATTATTATAAAAAAAAATATTCTTTTGATAGGCTGACCATAATTGATAATTTTTAAACTCTTCTATCTTAAAGAGTTAAGTTTTTGATGTTCAATTTTATAACTGCAAAAAATATTCAGTTTCTGAACGCATTTCTTTAACGTGTTTTATTATATGAAATCTCAAATCATTATTTATAGGGTGAAAGAACTGTTTTAAGCTTTTTAACGGTTTGAGACCGTAATTACTCGATAGAATAAAGCCAATAATATAAAACCGAGCTCTTTATGATCTTATGATAAAGTTGTCTAGACTCGATCCTAGCAAACGAACGAACAAATGCATTATCAAGCTACCTTTCAGAAAACATAGCCAAAACTAATCAAAAGAGTGGGGTTTGACCGCTCAACTCCCGTTTTCACACTTTAATTTTTTGACATTTCGACAAAATTAAAAGAAAAAGAATTCTCAATTTTTGAGAATTTGAGTAAAATGTAATAGTTCAATGTAATACAAAAATGATCATCTTCAATGCACTATGAGAAAAATTACTCTCATTTGTTAACTCTTCTCTCTCATTTCTCATAAAAATTAACATGAAAAATCATAAAACCTCACAAATGTTTGACCGTCTGTTGTATTTTCATACTCAAAACACATTTTTATCACACACAAAGTGGATAGCTGTGCTACGTCAATAATATTAATGTTGTTGTATTCGCATGTAGACAAGCAGTAATTTTATTTTTGTAGTTTGAGAGTTTTTTTTTTTGGCAGTCGTCATTTCGTCGCCGTACGGCATATCCACATTAAAACATTCGTTATCCAAATATTGAATTTTTTTAGACTTTTTCCTTCGTTTATAAAAGTGAAATTAGAGGTCAAATTTAATTTAGTTTTGCGGCGACTTTTGTGCCTTTATAAAGTGCAACAATTTGCCGATTTGAGTTTAATTAAATTAACTTTGAATTGTGAAAAATGCAAAGCAGTTCAAAAAATTAGAAGCTTACTGTAAATTACATGCTTATTATCGCTATATAAAGTGTTCAACTTGTAGCTAAATTCGCTCATTTGGCAACCTATTGTCTATCTGAAAACTCGTGGTCTCGTGCAATTTATTTCAGATTAAAGTGAATTTAAAATACAAAAAAATTAGAAAGGAAAGTTCGCACGTGTGTGTGTAAAAATAAAAATAAATAAAAAGTTTCACATTAAATTGAGAGAATTTTTATAAATACTGAAAAAAATGACAGCAGACGAAGAATGGTGAGTCACTTAATACTGAAAAGTTTATTTGTTGTTTATATAATAAATGCAGTGACGGATTTAGTAACTGATGATGATGACGACTGTTTAAAAATTAAAAGTGTTAATTGTTTGAATTTTGGGTGGGAATCAAAAGATTGTGGCTAAAGCTTGACTGAAATTCTATTTGAAATTTATTTCCAATTTTTAAAAAAATTATATTTACATTAGACATATGAATTTTGACAAATATGCTTGAAATAATTTTTCTAATATTTTTAAAAAAATAAATTAATTTTTTAAATTTGAAGAAAAAAAATTAAAAGATTTCTAAAATTCAAAAAACAAACATTGATCAAAAATCAAAAAAAAAACTAAAATACATCAAAAAATGTTTAAAAATCTTCACAATTGAACAAGAATCTCAAAAAAATATTCAACTTCCCTTTTAAAAACATTCAAAAACATCTACAACTATTCCCAAAAACCTAAGCTAAACGCCGCTAAAGGTCGCTTGAAGATCATTTTGCGTTAAAATAATTTTCGTTTTCATTCACAAAAAGGAACGTTCGCTACGTCAAATAGATAAATGTTGTTGTTTTTCACATTTTCGTTGCGCCGCAATGTGATATCGAAAAATAATCGACTTTTTGTATTTTTATTTTTATTTTTAATTCTCAATTTTGTTTCGAATCTCTCACATGCTGAATAAGTTGAATAAACTTAGGCGAATTAGACACAAAAAGATGTTGTTGTTGATCGTTTGAGGAATTGAAAAATAGCGAAAACTGACGCAAGTTGCTTGATTTTCTTTTAAAGATTTTTGATTCTGTTATTTGAATAAGAAAGGATATGAAGAAGAATTGATAAATAGAAGGCATGTGTGCTAGAAACATGTGAAATTCGACCATTATTTTTAATTTAACGCGAATTTTTAAATGAACATTTTTATGAAGAATGAGTGATGAAACTAAAGTAATAGAAAATGTGGGCTTAACGGTAGTGTAATTAGAATTTATCAAGTTTCTGGTCATAGGTTGATCATTTTACAATTTGTAACTACCTGTTCCTTAGTCAGATCAAAAAATCGTTCACTTTTGACGTCCGAAATTTATTGTTATTTTTTAAAAAAGAAGCTTCCAAATTTACATTATTATTCATGACCTTTATCAAAACTGAAACAATTTCATTAACAAATTTAATTTTAATTGGTTTTAATTGCCAAATTTTGTCGAAAATCTAAAGATTTAATTCTTGTTGATTTTTTGACACTATAACATAATTGAATTAATTTAAAATTTGTGTGGTGTTTTCCAAAATAAATGTCAACTTAATGAATCAATTCAATTAATATCAATAAATGGCTTCTTTTTGACTAGATTGCAATACCAAACACCAATTAATATTTTTATCAGAAATTCCCAGAAATTCATATCAAAAATTTTATTGCACAATGACATAATCACTCGGTTTTTACTCACAAAGTCATTATTAAATTACACAATTTTGATTAAATTTCTTACGAAAGAAAAATTTTTTGCTAAAATTCTTGAAAATGAGCAGGAAGTTTATAAAAAGATTTGGTTACAAAATTGTCCAAATAAAATTATTGAGCAACAAGTTGTTCACATGCTGACAATTGCAGAACTGAAATAAAGTGTGCAGAGTTTCACAATTTCATTAAAACTTGCATGATCTGCAAGATTTTAAATTTGGAAGAAAAAATTGCTGATTAAATTTCTACAAAGTGCTATCGGGATAGTTTGAATACATTCATTAGGGTCCATTCCTATGACATCCAGGGAGGGGATGAGCTCTAAGATTGAATATCAATCTACTTCACATTACTGTACCTTAGCAACAGGGGCGTAGCCAGGGGGGGCCATAGGGGGCCCGGCCCCCCCCCCCAACGAAAATCTGAAAATTGTTTTATTAAGTATTTATAGAGAAGAACCAGTTAATGTAGAGGAAGTGATGAAAGAAATGTCAAAATCAGCACGAAAAATTAAATTTAATGTATGAATAATCAATTAAATATTTAAACTTATGAAGAATGAATATAGATTTAAGGATACAAAATAACGGTTTTTTAATTTTCAAAAATGGGCCCCCCCTTCAAAAATTTTCTGGCTACGCCCCTGCTTAGAAAGATGCCTCAGGGTGCTCTAAGAAACAACCTTTACCCGTAACATTTTTTTTTCTTTTTTTTAAAGATTGATTCCTTTTATTGCATTTTAGTTTAAACTATTAATACAAAAAATATATAAGATACATTTAAGAAGCTTAATTACTATAGTTTCACACATCACACTACAAATGCTTTAAATAAAGATGCTCTTTTAAATGAGTTTTGAATAAATTAATGCTTACACTATGGGGCAAAATGAAAAAAAAAGGGACTTTCACTTTGAAAAATGGACTTTTCCGATTTACACTTTTTGGGTGATTTTTTCTTGTAGAGGACATAAAAGTAGATAGAAATGCCAAATTTCAGGTCATTTGGTGCTGATTTCGCGATTCTAGAGCTGTTTGAAGTTGAAAACTAGTGAAAATTCTGGTTTTTTCATACCATGTTTGAACCGGGAAATATCTTAACTGGTTTAAGATATTGCAAAACGGTTTTCAGTTCCTATTAGTAGTATATAAGAGCTTTATTTTGACATATAACAAAGTTTAGGTTCTGAATGTTTTCGTGCCATTATGGTAGAACATATGTGAAAATTTCAGGAAAATTATCTTCAAACAAGCCGCAACTATCATAAATGAAGAGTTTCCAGGCAAGTAAAAACGCAGTTTTGTAGCCCCATATATCTAGTTTTCAAAACTGTATAAACTTTGAAAAAGTAAGCTAACGTAATTGAGTTATGTTGATTTTAGTAGGTCGTTGAGTATTTGGCCAAAAACTAATAATTCTTTTAAAAATACGAAAACATAGTTTTAAAAATAGTTTTTTGGTGTTTTCTTATGAAAAATAACAATTTAAATGATTTTGTGAAGAAAATTTTTCAAAAACTTCAAAATCTTTCGAGATATAGGGGGTATGTGCTCTCCATCGATTTGGCCATTTGTCACCCTACTTAAACCACTATAACTTTTTTTTGAAAAAATATTTTTTAATTCTGTTTTCGGATTATTGTAGCCTAATGTAATACCTATCCAACGATATATAATACTTGCTAGTTAACTTAGTCCTGGTTATTTATAGGGCTGTTGATTGTGACATACGCAGTTTTTGAAATATTCCCAAAAATTGCATTTTCAAAAATACCACTTTTAAGCAATCTCGAGTATTTTTTAGAACTTTTTTATGTTTATTTATGACATTTATGAGATTATAAAGCCAAAAAATTAAATTTAGAAACTTTTTACTTCCCTAGTTAACAACTTTGTAAAGTACCCTTGGTAGTCACTATCAGGTGTGAAAATCTCAGTTTTGAAACTATTTTATATATATACTCGTGAAATTCTCTCTACACATCATATCAGTTTTGAACTTCATTGAACAAGTCACTTTCAAAAATAGTTTTTTCTGGAAGATCCTCTCCTTTTTGGCACGCCTTAATAAATTCTTTTAACATTTTAGCTCCTTCTACTTTTCCTTCTTCTTTAGAAAGGCGAAGTGCCAAGTGAAGAACTGATAACAATGATCCTTTTGCTTCTTTTAAACTGATATCTAATTCGTCCACTCTTCTACGTCGATGCTTATCGCTTGTTAGTTGTTCAAATGATTTCCTCTTGATGCCCTTGCTGGATGAAGGCTCTATGTCATGGACGATGTATTCAATCTCATCCATATCTTCATCTGTGTCAGTAACATTTTCTGCTTCATATATAGATTCTTCCTCAAAAAGAATCCCTCCACTAGATTCGCTGAAGTATCGTGAGTCAACTTCAAATTCCTCTTCATAGAAATCTGCATGATCTCTTAATGCATTATTCCAATTTGACTGATTACAAAACATTTTTGACTTTGACTTCAGCTTGTTTAATTTATTAATTAAACTTGGTTTCTGTGATTCCGCTAATTCTCTCCCATGAATTTCTTCTATTACTGCCAAACAGTACGTGTGCTGTGTTGCAAGATTTAACGTTTTGTCGCGAAGAATTTCACAGAGTGTTTTCTTCGTAAGTGTTGAATTTTGGTTCATTTTTGAAAGTGACTTGTTCAATGAAGTTCAAAACTGATATGATGTGTAGAGAGAATTTCACGAGTATATATATAAAATAGTTTCAAAACTGAGATTTTCACACCTGATAGTGACTACCAAGGGTACTTTACAAAGTTGTTAACTAGGGAAGTAAAAAGTTTCTAAATTTAATTTTTTGGCTTTATAATCTCATAAATGTCATAAATAAACATAAAAAAGTTCTAAAAAATACTCGAGATTGCTTAAAAGTGGTATTTTTGAAAATGCAATTTTTGGGAATATTTCAAAAACTGCGTATGTCACAATCAACAGCCCTATAAATAACCAGGACTAAGTTAACTAGCAAGTATTATATATCGTTGGATAGGTATTACATTAGGCTACAATAATCCGAAAACAGAATTAAAAAATATTTTTTCAAAAAAAAGTTATAGTGGTTTAAGTAGGGTGACAAATGGCCAAATCGATGGAGAGCACATACCCCCTATATCTCGAAAGATTTTGAAGTTTTTGAAAAATTTTCTTCACAAAATCATTTAAATTGTTATTTTTCATAAGAAAACACCAAAAAACTATTTTTAAAACTATGTTTTCGTATTTTTAAAAGAATTATTAGTTTTTGGCCAAATACTCAACGACCTACTAAAATCAACATAACTCAATTACGTTAGCTTACTTTTTCAAAGTTTATACAGTTTTGAAAACTAGATATATGGGGCTACAAAACTGCGTTTTTACTTGCCTGGAAACTCTTCATTTATGATAGTTGCGGCTTGTTTGAAGATAATTTTCCTGAAATTTTCACATATGTTCTACCATAATGGCACGAAAACATTCAGAACCTAAACTTTGTTATATGTCAAAATAAAGCTCTTATATACTACTAATAGGAACTGAAAACCGTTTTGCAATATCTTAAACCAGTTAAGATATTTCCCGGTTCAAACATGGTATGAAAAAACCAGAATTTTCACTAGTTTTCAACTTCAAACAGCTCTAGAATCGCGAAATCAGCACCAAATGACCTGAAATTTGGCATTTCTATCTACTTTTATGTCCTCTACAAGAAAAAATCACCCAAAAAGTGTAAATCGGAAAAGTCCATTTTTCAAAGTGAAAGTCCCTTTTTTTTTCATTTTGCCCCATAGTGCTCTGCAAGGGCTCTAATAAAGAAATTAAGAGCTCAAGCTTCGTTTCCAACACATGTAATCTAGAAACCAACAAAGTCCTCATCTTATCATATAATCCAAGAAGTAACATTCGGTCTTCTAAAAATCATCATACAAAACAATTTTAATTATGATCGTTCATTTGAGATGTGAAAAATTAAGCGAAAATAATCTATGAAAAATTGCCAAATTTTTAACCTTAAAACAGCCATAAATCACATTCTTTTTTCTTGAAATTCCTGTATTAAAGATCATAACCTCAGCATTCTCGTGATCATCCAAATTAGGAAAGAAAGTAGGCAGATACATCAAGTTAATCCACATGAAATTCACTCTAAATTAAATTTTATCGTTTTGTCCTTCAAATGACATCCATCTACAAAATGTGACAGGAAGTTCTAATAAAAAAAAATTCATTTTCAATCTTATCCCAAATTGCTCATTTTGTGAGGAATTTATCTCAGACGCAATTCGATATCAGAAATTAAACAACGAAAAATTGCATGACACGAGTTTTCAAATGACATGTGGCATTATTAACTGGTTAATCCATTGACTGCATTATTTGTGCATGCATACCGATTGTTTTGATTGTTGTAGTTTTTGGAGGCACGTCCACTGTAAACTTAGCCTCCGTCTCTATTACATATTCATATGAAATTCGTGCTTACGCTCAACAAATATTCTCAGCGTGACTTTACAGTCATGAAAATGTAGGTGAAGAAATTTTTTAAATATGTATTTGTGACTGTTTGTGGAGGCACGTTTGGCTGATGTAATTATTGGGTATGATTTAGACAAAGATTATAAATGCTTGAAGTTGCAATTAATTGAACTTGTGAACAGGTTTTTGTATTCATTATTATTTATTACAATTGTAAATTGATGAATTTGCAACAATTTATTGAGATTCAAGCAATTAGACTACAAATATTGATGATTAAATTTTATTGATTTTTGGTGTAAATTTTTGATGACATGAACAATTTGTGGAACAATTATTTTTATATTAAAGATTGCTATGGAATGTACTTGGGGACATTTTTGAGGCATAACGTTCAAAAAAAATCAAAAATACGATTGTGAGTCATTCGAAGTTTGTCATGCTGTAGCACTTGTAGTCCAACCTAGTTCTGCATTAAGCTTGTCAAAGACTTCGTCCACATGATTGTTGTCATGTTTATTGTACCTAATGCGTATATGGACCAAAGCTATATATAAAATGAAAACAAAAGATACAATAATTACAAAAATCAGGAACATCCAACAAGCAGGCAGTATCAATATTTTAACCGAAATGTATCTTCAAGATCAGCTTGTTATTAAGATCAGTCTTTGGCCAGAAGAAGGGACTTATACAAATGTAGGAGTAATGCTATATAGAGATGCTAATATTGAGAAGTAGACAGGTTTCGATGGGCTGGACACGTTTTTAGAAGACCTGTTCACGCTTCATGAAATAAAGCCTTCAAATCCAATTTTGTAGATGGAAAGAGATCACTTGGAAGGCGAAAGAAGACATGGAAAGAAGCTGTTGATAGAGACAGTCTTGCATTTGGAATTGGCGATTGACAGACGGTAGCCAGCGATAGAGCCAGCTTCAGATGCCATCTAAGGGAGGCCTTGGATCACAATTGATCTGTACTTCCAGCAAAGTAATTAAGTAAAGATGATCAGATTGTATACCAGAAACAACAAATAAACAACTGTTGTCCAAACTGTGTGCCGAGGCATACTGGTGTGCCGTAGAAATTTTTTCGAAATGACGCGAGCAGTATGTTGTGTGTGACTTTAATAATGACTTCCCTCTAAGGTGTGCCGTGGCTCAAAAAAGTTGTGACAACACTGAAATAAACAATCCAAAACATACCTCAATTGAACTTAAACTCTTCTAAACCGTCAAAACATTCAACATCCCAAAACATTCCCAATCCGACTCCAATTACGTCGCAAAAAGTCTCAACATTCTCTCACTCTCATAGTTCCCATGCTCAATCCATAATTACAGCACTTTTATTTGTGAGTAAAACATTTTTTTCCGGCAACAGAAACAACAACAAAAAAAATTGTTAAAATTGCCTCTCAGCTTGCACAGCTGATTTTTTTATTCACAACTCTCAGTCAATCATAAGCCGCGGACGCAATACGGTCGGTAGTTAAAGTGTCGGCAGTTTTGCAGAAAGTAAAATTAATGTAAAAAGACTGTGCATTTTGAGATTTCTTCTTACTTTATTATTTGCTGCATTTTTTGAGAGTCGCGTTGTTGCATTTTATCACACAGAATGTTGGGAATATTTGTGAGACATACGAACTGTCTGAAAACTCGAGCTATTTTTGTCACTTTTAAATTCATGTAATTTAAACTTTTTGTTCAATTTTCGTGATTATCGATGCGAAAAAGAAGTTTTTTATTCGATTGGTGTTGAAAATTGTGGCTGAATTAGCTTTTTTGAGTAGTTTTATTATTACAAATTGAGGCTAAGGAGATGATGAATGTGGAATTTATTGATAAGGGAATTTTTCAATTGTTTGAGATTAATTTGAGTTTTATGAATTGAATTTTTAATTGTTTTAGTTTTTGTACATTTTAATATTTCAAAAAATTTAAAAATATTTATAAAAAATATTAAGAAATTGAGGATTTTTGGTCCTTAAAAGATTGAAGACTAAAACAGAACAGAAGATGTTCCGAAAAGTAAATGTCAAGGTCAAAACTGCACAGTATTCCTAGATAACCTTGAAATTTTTTCTTCCAAATAGTGGTGAAGCAAGATGAAGAAGCCATAACTTTGGTTATTGTAGCTTTAAAAACACACAAAATTCTGATAAAAATAGTTGCAAAAAGTAGTCAAGCTTCACATACAAGATCGAATTAAGTGACACTATATTCATGTACCACATTAAGGATAGGACATTCAACCTTTTACTTCTTAATTAAATAGTTCTACCTTTTTACCATCGGTATTTGACCTTGAGTAGAACAACTTTATTAAGTTTCAATTGCTGGCTTAATATTTTTTAAGATTTAATTTTTTACTATTTGCTCAATGTGGTTTTTATTTTTTTTTTGACTTGATTAAAATTCAATTCAAAAATTTTATAATCTGAAGTTTAGTGACAGATTTGATTGTCTTAGGTTTGGTATTTTTGCTATGATTTTAGACAAAATTGAAAATATTGGTATTGACAATATTAAAGTATTTGAGCTATGGTAAATTTATAGCACGAATGTCGACAATTTTTACATTACTGCATTTATATCTTGTTATCTTCACACATGCTTGATAGCAATTGTTTACCGCTACACTCTTTATTTGAGAATAATAAGCCTTCTGTTATCACAAAAATAAAAAAAATGACGCAAAGATAAAAAAATGCCACTAAAATTAAAAATTTGTTTACAATCCTCAAAAAAAATACATTTTATGAAGCTCCCAAAATAAGTAATTGTCAAGTGCTTCCATTGTTCTTGAAATAAAAGATTACTTTTATCATATTAAACTTAAAGAATTATCAATGACTTTACAAAAAACCACTTAAACTGTTTTAAGATAACAAAAAAGTGGCTAATTAATTTCAAATGATCGATGACTTAAGTCGACGTTAAAAATGTTCTTAGTAATATTTGTGGATTATTAAAAAATTCTCTAAAAATAAATCAGCAATAAAGAAAATTCTTTTATCGCGTTCATCAAAAAATGAGGTATTAACAATCCTAATTCATACCTAATTAAAAGAATCTACTTTTCCTTAAAGTGTGAACATCGCAGAGCCTCTCCATGCTGTATATTTAATGTTTGAGGGATCCAGCCTTTGAGCTGGAGGCACTGCAATTCAATTTGTAAAGAATCTATTGTACCATACCCTTTAGACTTACAGTTTATAGTGGGATCCGAACCACTTAAAAGCTCTGCACATTGCAAAGACATGGGATTGAGCCCAGGACCTTTGGCACGGAATGCAAACGATATAACATTTAGGCCACTGATTCCATTTCACCGCTTTTTCCCTAGCCATAATAAAACCCAAAATATTCGCATATTACTCAACGATGCTAATAATAGCTAATAATTGCACATTAGAATGCCCAACCTAAAGCAAAACAATTAAATTGAAATAATAGAAAAAGCTTCATTTTTATCAGAAAATATTCTCATAATAAATTAAAAATTTTTAAATAGACACAACACAAAGCATAACTTATAGAACTATAAATAAATTATTTCAGTGTTATCAATTTTCGATGATAAGTTTACAACTCAACTCGGAAATTAAAAAAAAAACTTATAAGAAACGCAAAAGAACAAATTAAGGTCAAATAAAAAATGAATAAGTTTTGCTCAGTTTCAGTTGATTGATTTGAATTAAATTATTTAAATTTGATATCACATGATGACCGAGAACTTGAAAAAAAATTGAACTATACTTTAATTTGCAAAAGAATTTCATTTATTTGGCATTAATTTAAGATTTAAATGAGATTTTTGCATAATTTATTACTCGAAATATTTGATTTAAAAATCAATTTGATTTTAATGTATTTTAGGTAAACTAGATAATCAGAACGTTTAAATGATTTAAGAGGGTTCTAGCAAAATGATGCGTTCTGATATGATGCAAAGGGCCGAACGAATTATGATTCTGATTGACATCAGAATTAATTTTACGATAATGATTCCTCCAGTTGAGAATAAATCTGTACAGTTTTGATATCAGTAGTGTTCCCGGGTGGACACAGCCAGTTAAAGTCCATTATTGGACAATCATTTAACAGTCTTTTAACTTGTCGAAATATATACGATATAGAGAACTATACGTTAACTAGACTTTAACTGGACATTCATGCTAATCAATCAAGTGTTCGAAACTCAAAAATAATTTTCCTTACTTTTTTGACCATATACTTCACAAGTGCTTACAGAAATCACTTATATAAGGTCCACCAAAATTTGTATGAAACCTTTAAGTAAATATAATTGTTTCACGCGCAAGTGTTCGAGACTCAATTTTTACTAGAGATTTTTCATAAGTGATAGTGTACTTTAATTTATTAATTACACTAATACAATAATAAAATTTTACAAAAGAAAAAAAATGGAGAAAAAGACACGTGTTATTTATTTTATTTTGATTTTTTTGTAACTGGACATTAACTAGACATATTTGCAATTCATATGTCCAGTTAAATGGAAAGCGCAAAATATGTCATTAGTCGTCCCTAAGTCTAGTTGCAAAGGCACGTCAATGGATACTTACTCGCCGTGAAAAGGCAAGTCAATGGCAAGCTTTTAACTAGTACTTTGTCCACTCGGGGTTGTTCAAGATTGTTGACCTGCTCAAGGTAGAGCTCGAAGTCGACTCGAGATTTTTATCGATTTTGTATCGTGGAGTCAACTCCGAGTCGACTCGACTCGATACAAAATTTCGTTTACTTTGACCTGCTTAATGTACTGGGTAATTTCCTACGATCTCAAAACTATGTTCTTAAGTAATTGATACTTAAGGTATCAAGGATTAAACCAAAGAATTTTTTAAGTTAAATCTAGAGAAAGATCCAGGGAGTAAACTGGCACAAACCTTATTGATAGGGTGACCATCTAATTTTTACGAAAATACAGGACATTTGATAAATTTCCTAAAAAATACAGGACACAATGGAAAATTTGAAAATTAACGGAAATTTTCGTGAAAAAAATACAGGACCAGGAACAAAATTTTCAAATTTATACAGGACAGGGTTTTGAAATACTGGACTGTCCGTTATAAAACTACGCAGATGGTCACCCTACTTATTGACAAATATCAATAGCTCCAGATTCTCCTTATAACATCTAGTCAACCTTCCTGTATACAAATATCATATGCGTCATTTTAAAATGGAAAGTGAAGGCAATTGCAAGATTTTTGTTAACTTTTTGTACTGCATATCTGTTTTTTGCAATTTAAATATTTTCTTTTCTTTACTTCTTCACATTTCTTTATGGATTGTTGACAACTTTACATAATCAGTGTTTGGACTTTTTAATGCGTAGATTGTTTTTTGATTTGTTGTTGTTAGCACAAAAGTAGAAAAACTACTAAAAGAATTGTTCCTGAAATGAGATTTTGAATACGGGGGAACTACTAAAGTAATGACAAGTTTTATGAAATAAGTTGCAAATTTAATGACACACGATTGTTTTTATAATGAAACAAAATGTTAAATATTTCAATACTTTACATCTGACCAAATTAAAATATAGACAAAATTTTAAATTAAAGCTTTAATTTGATAATTGCTTGATGCTCCCTCCAAGACATATTAACCATTTTTAAAATACTTAAAATTTCAAACTTTATAAAAAATACAAAATGATTAAAAAAAACCAGAGCTTGAAGTCGACTTGACACAAAACCGACTCGACTCAACTTTTCTCCAGTCAACTCGAGTTGACTTCGAGCTCTGAAAAAAACTCATTTATTGATGGTTTTTTGTAATCCTCACTTCTCAGAATTCTCCTTAATCTTCCATTTGTGGTCATGTAAAATTTTGGAATACCCAAAACACAATTCATAGAATCGCAAATCCCCGGTATTTCCCGA